TAACTCTATCCCAGCTGAAACCAGGGCAGCAGGATAGGATATAATTAATGTAAATTCTGATTATTATCAACTTCCATATTGAAAGATCTTCCATACACCTTCAATACAGTGGCTAAAAGATCTAATGGAACAGTTTCAAATAAAAATCAGAATTGTGTATCTTTTGTACGAACTGCTGGGCTTTTTTCTTTTTCCTTATGTTTTAGCAGTCTCCAGTTCTGTACCATCACTTATTGCTATTTTTTTCTTTCTATTTCATTCTGGTTTTTTTCTTTCTCACACTTAGTCTATTCAGGCATGCAAGTAGAAACTTTAGACTCCAGCAAAAAATGTGAATTTAACTTTTTGACTGGAGTGATACTTGAGGAGAAAATAGTTATGGTGAGCTTGCTGCTGCTGCTGATACATTTCACTACAGAGAAGCCTAGGCTTTTCAGTCTATGTTAGTGGAAAAAAAATAGGTATCATAGTGCCTGAATTTTTGACATTGACTTTTCTTTTGCTTTGTGGCAAAAAATGGAATCTCCAGCAAATTTTAAACTCTGTAGTTTTGTAATATTCCTAAAAATTTCTATATAATTTGCAGTTGTAAAATGTAAACTAGAAGATGTGCTGAGATGCTAAAATGGTAATCTATATGTTTAATGAACTAGAACAAGAAAAAATACAATTTGAAATTACAAATCAAGAGTATGTAAGATGCGCTTGCTTTCTTGGTCCTTAATACCGATTTGGCTGCACTTTAAATCAGTTTTCATCCGTAGTCTCTTATTTCAATCTCTCATGGGTTGATTTCGTGTATTCCATGAGTGATTTTACATGTTGTGTGTTATTTTATGAGCTCCTGTAAGCCTTGAGCACTTTAAGGAGGTGATGAGTAGCAACTGGTGGGACCAACATGTTCAGAGAGAGGGGCTTCTTAATAAAAAGGGTCCCAGGCCACTTCCTTCTGTTTGCCTAGGTGAGCGATCCTCCCACCGCAGCAGCCAGAATTTTCGAGCATCGAAAGCCTATCAGCCATGGTACTGTTTTCCCCCTCAATTTATTGTGTGCTATCAAATCTAGTTGAACATGAGATTAGCTACCCATCAACTATAACAAATACTAAATTAGCTGAATTGATGATGAGTCTTTAATTTCACTCACTTCCAAACCATAAATTTGCAGTCACTCCTTTTTCCTTTTGCAAGATGTCTATAGTAAGTATGATAATTATTTAAAATGTTTTAATCTAATTTTACTTGAGTTTCTATTAAGACCAAGTCTCCTTGATGAAATGGTGTTAACATTCCAAGTAGTTGTAAGTGAATCCCAGGGGAAAATATGTACTGTTGAACATCTGTCGTCTCACTTAGATGCTGTCAGTGCCTAGTGCCTTCTAATTGTCACCAGCCGGAGAAGAATCCTTGTTCCCAGCTGTATTAAATACAGGGGGCCTACGTTTACAGTTGTGACTGAGTTAAAGAGGAGGCTCAGAAGATACAATATCTGAGGGAGAAAAAACAGGTGGTACCAAAACGTTACCTAGATGATGATTTTTCTGTCTAGCATTTTACATTTTTGTGTAACCTTAATCTTGTTTCTAGAAGAATACTGAAATGAAACTTTGATTGGGATAAAGGGTTTTTTAATACGACTCACGTTGAAAGGCGTTTTGCAGTCAGCGGAGTTCTTTGTTATCTAGAATTATTTTTAAAAATAAATTTCTTTTCTTTATTAAAATCTCCTCAACAGGAGACTTTACAATAACAGATTTTCAGTCTTTACGTGAGAATCCTTCATGTATCCCACTCCAGACTATGCTAATAACAATTCCGCCTTTGTTATTTAAGACAAAATCAAGGTTTTTCCACTTGTTGCTTTCACTTAGAATTGTTTCGTTGACTCTGCTGCTGCAGTGGTGCCTCAGTAATGTAATTAGCAACGCAGCAAAGACTAATCCTTTTGTTTGTTGCCCTTTGCTTCAGCTCTTCAGTATCTCTAAATGTAAGATCTGCTATGCATGGTTCTGAGGTTCCATTTCATGCTGGGATGTTGGAGGGAGAGGAAGACGGTAGCGTACATTAGAAATGTCAGAGGAGGGCTTTGTAAATAGCAAACATAGAAGCAGGTAAGGTAACCCTTGGAAGTCATCGATAGAAAAAGCAGGAAGCCCGGTACACAATTAAGCGTATAACTTCTGAGATCTGCTGCCCAGTTTCATTCTGTGTGAAGTGTATTTAAAATAGGAGAGGAACCTGTACTCCTGAGTAGAATAGTTGCTTCAAAATTGTATTTGATGAGCTGGGAATACAGAGCTCGTGTTTACCAACTTAAACTATTTTCAAATCGACACGGGTGAATATTTTTCTTTTCATACAGTTTGTTTATTATTTGATGACAAATTTATGTTAACTAATTTGAAGTAGTGTCAAAATGATTTGAAAGTTTTGATAAACTAGGAAATGTTAGGTTTAGGTGATTTTTGGATGCTTTCTTTAGTTGATGGGGGGGGTTAGTTTATTTTGGGCAGGGGGGAATTGGTGAAAGCCTAGCTTGTCATTATGCTGGTTTTCTCTTTGGATTCCTGTTGTCGTGGTCATGAAATGACTTTTGCTTAAGAAACAGAAACAAAATTGATTTTACTAACTTCAAATAGTGTGATTTGGGGAGAGGGGGGGGATGTGATTCATTTCAGCTTTCCGGTATTTGCTATTAAATGGTTAACAATTGTACTGGACACTGACTTTATTAAAACTACCTTTTGTAAAGCTGACTTTTCGACTATATTGACCTAACCATAACTTGTTTAGACTTAAGATTACTGGTTAGTATAGTAAAAATATTTTCCCTCTTTAGTTTGTGAACAGATTGCCAACAGCTAAGTAACATTGCTGGTAAATGTCTCAAGATAGCGTTCTGCTCTGTGATCCAGGCCTTTAATGGTTTAGTGTGACCTTTTCCTAAGTGCTGTGCAGGGATGCATTTTGCTGCTGAAATACTGCCCGGTTTTGCAGGTATTTTTGTAAAATTACTCGCTCCAGATTGTCTGCAAAACATGATTAGGTATGTTGAAGATGATGAAATTGGTATGTGTATAGCTTTACCCCTGCTTTCAAAATAAGGCATGGCTTGCTTTGTTCATGTTTTAAACTTTATGGCTAATATCAGTATTCTCCATGGGTAACCCAGGAAGCCTAAGAGAGAAGAAAGTTGTCCTTACCTCCTGCAGGGGCAGAACCTGTCTGTATTAAGCCATATATACTACAAATTATTTTTCAGCTCCCTCACTGTTATGCGGCTACTAAATGACCTCTCAGCAGCTTAATTGGTATATGATTAATCAGTACAGTGTTTCTTGGCAATATCCCATATGTATTTTTGTAAGAGACATACATTTCTTTTGTTCTTTCATTTTTACAGTTATATGGGAATTGGGCTTTCGGCACAGGGTGTGAACATGAACAGACTACCAGGTATGTTTCTGTGTTTGTTACTTTTGAGAAGTCACTTACATCGGTTAATTGTGGTTTTTAAAATATGCTTGTCCTTGATGGGAAGGTTCTGGTAAGCAACAGAGAGTGTGTCATGACATCTTTGTGTTGTATCTGTTATCTGGATTATGTAAATTTTGCAGCTAAAAAGTTTAGCCTTTACTGTACATTAGTTCTTGCACTACTTCCCTCAACTCTTAATGTTATTTATAACATGCAGATAATTTTAACAAACAAATACATTTTAAAATTTTCATCGTGTTTCCTGCTAAAACTAAAGCTATAGATTTCCTTGCTCTGTAAACTAAATTTCTAGCAATAAAGATGAGCTACTATGATGACAGCTTTCTGTCAGACATGGAGTGAGCTCTCCTGCTGTGAGTTTCCGTACCGTTACCTTTCCAGCCTTAACAGTAAGGATGTGGAGCATAGTTTTGAGTTTTGACTGTTCCATTAAACCTGCGTGGTCAGGGATGCTGTCTTGTTAACGATTGTCTGCAGTATCTCTGTATAGTATTTAAAGAAGTTTTGTGTATGTGTTGGTGTTTTAATAGATCTTTAAACATGTAGAAACAAACAAACAAAATTGATTTTTTGAAATTGTTGCTATTAGCCAAGTATAAAATCATGCTGAATGGACCTTAGGGTATCTGTACTCTCTTCCTTTTGCGATGTTACTTTCTCACACAAATGTTCTGGTAGAGATCCTTATGATGGTGGCGAGTCCCAGTTACACTGGGAGCCCAGTTAAGGGTCATGAATTATCAGTGGGTGGCATTTAGTTTATCTTGAGTATGATCTAGGATGCGTTGCAAATAATTTTGAAAGATACTACTAATCAATGTAACTGCAGTAATTTGGGGTATTTAATTTACTGAGAGATGCTTAATGTGGTGCCAGCTGAAGCTACCGACCATATAGATTGGGGGCCTAAGTATGGAAAATACTTTCAAATTAACCTTGACAGACGAAGAATAAACCCACAACCTTTTTCTCTAAAAATAATTTGAGTTGTCAGTATAAATTCTTACAGTCAGAATGTGCGTTTATATATATATATGTATATGAAGTTTGGCAATTTGTGTTAAAGATCATGCTTTATATTATTTTGAATAGGCATTTAATAGATCTGTTAGGAAGATTTTGTGGTGCCTGAAAGTTTACTCCTCTTCTATGTGTTTTTGTGTAGTATTGAATTGCAGAGAGTGTGGACAGGTATTTTGAAATGAGCTCAGACTAAAATTGCTCGCTGTGAATTTCATTGAGTAGTGTAACAGCATGAAGCTTCTTAACTGGTTCTGCAGCTTCTTCACCTGCAAAATTAGCACCAGATTTGCATACGTAATGATTTGCCTGCTGGCTGTGACTTTAACCTGTATTGATAATTTTTTTCCCCTTTTTTTTAATTTTTAGGGGCAGCAAAGCTAGTGACACTATAGTCTGGAGATTCTGCTATTATGCAGAGACTGCTTGCTGCTCAATAGTCATTGAGAATGATCAGGAGTAGAAATGTGTCTCCCCAGAGATGCGTGTTTGGGTTTTAGCCAGGAAGAATTTGATGATGACATATGGTAGCAATAGTTTTGCGAGATGAAAGGGAGAACAGGAGAATCTTCACTGCTTTATTGGGACATGTCATCTCTGCATGTAGCATTTCAAATTTCAGCATTGCAGCTGATCATATTTTTGGTGTTGGTAATTTTGTGTGTGCACTTAAAAAAAAATTTGTTATCTGAGTTTGCATTCCCTGTTATGTACTACCAATGGAATTACCTGTTCAGCCATTTTGATAAAAGTTGTCCTTTTTTTTTTTTTAAACGAAAGAGGTTTTTTTGGTTAGATAAGATATCTTGGAAAGCAGAAAGCTGAGGAGAGTAATTAACCGTATTAACCTGGTTAGAATATACTGACTTTGTGTAGTCTTTCCGTTATTTCGTAATAAAGGAAACGAATAAATTGCAAATGCTTTTGTTCTCTAGGTTGGGATAAACATTCATATGGTTACCATGGAGATGATGGACATTCATTCTGTTCCTCTGGAACTGGACAACCCTACGGCCCAACGTTTACGACGGGTGATGTCATCGGTTGTTGTGTCAACCTTATCAATAATACCTGCTTCTACACAAAGAATGGACACAGCTTGGGTATGGAGAAACGTTATCTTTAATGATAACATTATGTCTGTAAGTCTGTTGTAAATCTGAAACTCTCTTCGTGTCAGGAACAATGTGTCTGAATAGTTCTTTCGATAGCCTTATAATCTGTGAATTAAAGAATTGTGAAGAATAATTTCTTCTGTGCCGCTTGCACAAACATTCCTTGTGAATTTGGAAGGATTTGTCGTAACATCTCATTCCGCAGGACCTGCATTTATGAACTCTGCTACTAAATCCACAGATACTACTTGATGTTTATGAGATAATAGATAAGAGAAATGGAGAATGGATATAGCTAAATTCATTGCTGCTGTATGGGGGACACCTAGCCTTCACTAAAACCTTGTACTGGATGGGTGTTATTTTGAACATATGTCAGAGAACAGTGTCTTTCGGATTCCCAGTCTGGAGTCATGCATAGTTGGGCTAAAGCCATGAATTATACAAGTTGTGCTGAAATTAAGTGCATTAAATTCTTGTGGTAGACTTTAGCGTTACGCAACACTGCAAGACAATTTTTGCATTTCAAGACGTTTGGAGAGGGTAGAGTTAAAATTTTTGATGCAATATATATAATAATTCTGTTACTGAATGCAATTTAATAAGCAAATATACAAAGTGTAAAGAAAGAAGGGAAAAAAAAAAAATCTACTTCCTGCATTAAGGAGAGAGCAAGGGCTTGGGAAGTGATCCTGGAATTGTGCTGAGGGGAGTAGGAAGTTTCAAGGGATAAAGCTCAGAAAGAAGAAAGAAGGTTTTTTCTCATGGGTAGATATGTGATAGGGAAAAGAGAGGCTAGCTTGAAATGAAATAAGAGGTTATTGAGACAGGGACTCTGGAAGTGTCTGTTCTATTTTCTCACATTGCCAAACATGAGGAAGGTTTGGAAAGCAGTAAGGAGTAGGACATGGTTTAAATTCTTCTCCTTGTCTCTCAGAACGAGACTGCCTGTTTGTTTGCTCAGACCCTGAGCAAACCGATCTAATCTTTGGAGTTTCCCTGCCCCTCCTCAGAGCAGGGCTTAGGTGCCTCCAGAGGTGAATTCCAAGTAATCACTTCTGTGATTCTGTTCTATCGTGATTTAATGTTTCTTCTAAGTTGATTGAGTCTGGATACCTGGACTTAATACCTTGATGCCTATGGCAGTGGCACGCTTGAACCACGCACTGTGCAGTTTCTTTTGGCCCTGTTTCTGGGTATATGTTGAAATGGAAGGTAACAGGCTCATGTTGTATTTACCCTAATCTTTAACTGGGTTAAAGCTGAGAAGGATCATCTTAACTAGTTCCAAAAAGGGAGTAAGGTAACAGTGTGCCAGCAGGGAAGTTGGATCAGATTGTTGATCAATGAAAGAGACACTGGCTTTCTGACTACTCTTATGGGCACATGTGTGGAAGAGTTAAGAAGGGACGAGCAGAACCTTCTGTTTCAGTGGAAGTCTTAAAGCAGACCGGATTAGACCAACTGTGAAACAGCAGTCCCAAGTGATTAAAATCTGTTTAAAGAGGAGAACAGAATAACATAGGTGAGGAGAGGCTAGTAAGGTGTCATCTGTCATGGACAGAGTCTGACAAACACTTTATGGATTTCAGAAGGAAACCTGACAGCTGTTCTGCTGTGGGCTTTGCTAGCTTGAATTTCTGACAGATGAAAATGGATTCTGTGTTTAGGGGAAAAAGAAATTAGAAATTTTGGCTGTCTTGCTGAGTTGTTGCTGCTGCTCGTTGTCCAGAATTCCTATATGATTGTGACCTGGAGGACATTTATGTTTCTTCTCTGGGCCACCAATACAGTCTAGAGGATTGGAAATCTCTGGCTGAGCCAGGGATTTGATGCTACAAAAAGGGCTAAGCAATTATTTATGCAAGTGTGAAATCCGAGTAACAAACAAAACCCCCAAAAAACCAAGAAAACCAACCCCAAACCTCCAAAAAACCACGATACCTACATGTCACTCAGTCATCACTTAATCATTTATTTATCTTGCCTACTGCCATGGTTATTTTGGAAAAGGGCAAGTTGGATGTCAAAATGTGCCAAACGGAGAAACTGGTAATAGCTTAGAAAAAGCGAGGGTGTGAACAGCTAATAAATACAACGATAGCTTTGAGGTGTGATGGCAGGAAACGGGTTCACTCTGTGTGTCATTCTTTTGTATCAAAGATGTGAGTGAGGAATCCAGATGCTCTTGAGATTTGAAATCTTGGTGATAAGCAGGGGTGGAATTTAGGACAGAAGGTTAAAAGCTTTGTTTTAATCTTAGATTTGAAAAGACGGTGATACAAAATAAGTAAGAGTTTGAAGGGATAAGTGGATTTGAATCATTATGCACTTGTAAAAAAATAAATTTAAAGAAATACTTGCAACAATAAAGGAAATGATGAAATACTGTTATCATTTGGCCATCAGAAGGAGATTTCCTGATACTTATTTTTTAACTGAAAGCTTCCCCCCCCTGCCCCAAATTGAGTGAGGTTCCTGAAGTGTATAGAGGTCAGATTTTTCTCTAATCCTGAGGCAGCAAAATCACTGCCTTGGTCTTATGGGTAGATGGATGCTTGGAATTATATAACAACAAAATTAAGCTATTCTGTTTGAAAACTAAAAAACACTGGCGTGGATTAAAGTGAAACATCTACCAGACTGGTTTGGAGTATTATAGGCATGTGCTGCTCGTGTAAAGATAATGCATACTTGTGAAGAAAAGTAATAGCCAACAGGAAAAGGTACCGTTAAAGCTTGGTGTCACAGCATCGAGCCATGCAAGTGAAAAAATATCTTCAGATATTCTTATTTTTCCTCTTAATTTTAATCTGTAGCCAGAATTTTCATACTTTCTAATCTGCATAGCTGTATGACGTTTGCTAAATCTTACGCTGTATTTTGAAAACTTGAGGGCAAATGGAGTACTTTGGAATGACAATTAATTTTTTCCAAATATTGCCCTTTATTACTGGAGCACATCAGTTGTGCCTGAGCATCGTGAACGTCGCCATACTTTACTGCTTATTTCTGAGATGGTTTGCGTGAGTTTTCTGAACATATAATGATAAACTTCAGAAAATGAGGCTAGAATCCAGAGATGCAGAAATTAATCTTAATTTTCTTTTTGTTACAGGCATCGCTTTCACAGATTTACCGGTAAGATAAGTGCATTTTCAAACAGCTTTCCTTTGTGTTAGAAACAGGTGTTTCAGATGGAACTTGCATTTACCTTATGCTTCTTGGAAATACAATGATAATCTTCTCAACCAGTTTAGTATCAGATATTTCTCCTCATCATTGCAGTAGTGATTTGCTAATTGAAGCAAAGAGTTTTTTGCTTTTACACCTATCCTCGCAGGGGTTTTCTGGTTTTTAGGTTTTTAACAGCTCTAATGGAAGTTTAGCAGAACATAATACATACAAGTAGTTGTTGCATACTTTGTTTGACACAAACAGGCCTTACTTACAAAATCAAAGCTATGTTAAACAGCAGCAGGGTGGATGTGCGCGCACTGCGTATCACATGCCGAAAGGCTGGCTGCTTCAGCCGTGGTCCTTGTAACTCATGCTTGATGCCTCATTTTCAGAATCTTTCTCTATACTGTTTACTCCATAAGATCAAACATAGCAAAGTTAATTTTTTTTTAAAGAAAGTTGCAGCTATCTGAAGTATTTCAGCTTTTCAGTCAATTGCACTTTCCTTAAAATTATTATAAATATATTCCCTATGCTACTGGTATAGGCATGATACTGCTCTTACTTTGGTTTTTTTTTTCTCATCCACTTCATTTCTGATTTAATCTGGTTTGAATGCAGTATACGATACACTTCCATCTGCCCAGCTCCTCCGTTTGCTATGGCCTTAGGAGGCAAGGACAGATCTTAAGGAAGGACGAAGTCAATAACCCAGGGCACCTCTCGGCCCCACCACAGGGTTGGGTGCTTCATGTAGGAAGCCGCTGCTGCTGTCCCGGCTCTGCGGAGTGCCGGCGGGGCTCCTTGCTAGCACGCCGTACCAGCATAAGAGAACTGATGCTCTGATTGGAAGTTTGAAGAGTAGAATTGATTGGTTTCATCTCATTAAAAGATTTGAGACTTGTGCTTTGTTGATTAGTCTAGACTAGGTAACAATTGTGAGCAAGGGTTTTTTTTTAAAAAAAAAAACAAAAACAAAAACACAACGAAACACAGCAACCAAAACCAACCAAAAAACCCCCAGAAGGGGCGTGGAGGTGGAAATGGGGGCAGGATCAGCTCGGGCATGGTTTTAACAACCAGAGTATTTTTCTTTAATTTCACTGGGTTCACTGCGCGTCGGTGTTCCTACTGGCCTGCATGTTGATGACTTCTTACCGATAGCTTTAATTTATTTAGCGTATAGTTCTGTAGATCAGCATACCATTCTACCGTACCCCCATTGACTGCAATGTAAATATGATGTAGGTCTATTTATAAATACAAAAAACCCACCAGCAACAAAGGCCGGCCCACCCAGCCCCCCAGCTGGTTGCGTGGCCATTGCTGAGGGGCTAGTTACATTTCAGAAAGTTACTTTAATCCCATCAGGCAGATTTTACTTTTCTCATATTTGGCACATTTCAAATTTGCATGGAGACCTAATCTCTAAGCAGAAAATAAAACTGAGACAACAATAAATGCTTTAAAGTCTTTTTGTAGATACAAGTCCAGGAATTCCTGAGAACTTCAATGCACTGTTACAGTTCTTTTTAGGCGCTACACTTGGACTTTGAGGCTAATGAGTTCTCTATCCTGTCAGTTCTTACCACTAAAATTCAGCGATGTTTTAAGTATTTCACCCCAAAAGGAAAATGGCCCACTTTGTAAGTTTAATTTTTGTTCTCTTTTTAAAAGAAACTTTAATCCTGGTCTTTAAAAATCATTAAAAAATTGGTATTTAGTGTTTTTTAAAATTGAAACCAAAAGTTGTAAACTTTAGCACGGTTTAAGAAGCGCGTTTTCTGACTAGAAAGAGAATGATCAGTAAGGCTTTCTTACTTGAAAATTAAAAAAAATGTTGACCACTGGGAATAAAATGAATCAGTCATTGTATTGCTGGATTGGTAGAAGTTGCTTTAACTGCTGGACAGATGATCCAGAGGTGTTTGCTTCTTCACACTACTTGTAGCAGTGGGGATATTACTACAGAGATGAAAAAAAAAAAAAGTGGGGAATTTAGAATAAGAGGAAAAAACTAATTAAAAAATTTCTTGCAGCCAAACTTGTACCCTACAGTAGGGCTTCAAACACCTGGAGAGGTTGTGGATGCTAATTTTGGGCAACACCCGTTTGTATTTGATATTGAAGACTATATGCGGGAGTGGAGAACCAAAATTCAAGCACAGATTGACAGATTTCCAATAGGAGATCGGGAAGGAGAGTGGCAAACAATGATTCAGAAGTAAGACTTTGAATGTTGTTCATTTTTTTAAAAAGTTAATAATTGCGTGATTTCGGAGATCTTTAAAACATTGTACCTATTGTCTTGTGCCAAAAATTACGGAGAGTATTGAAAACTGGTACAAATAGTTGTGTTAACAGGTTTGATAAACATGTATAAAATTGAGCATGAATAGATGTTTAGGGGAAGAGGAGTACTACTACTACTACATCAGGAGTAATTTAAGAGTTGATAATGATGAGTGTAAGCTTTCCATTTGGATTTGACCTGTGAATTGGGGAGTTGAGAAAAATTGCCATGGTTGTAATGAGCAGTTTTAAGACTTTGGGCTCTGGAAATTTCCCTTCGTGTTCTCAACCTTCGGTGTGCCCGGTTAAGCCGTGGCTCATTAGTGTCTCGCCCGGAAAAACGGGGGTTCTGGCTTTGCATTTTTTATTTCTTCAGTGAAAACAAAAAATTAGTATGCAGAAATTTAATTTCAGTGTATGTACGAGCAAAAAAAAGAAACTTGATTAGCAGGTAATATTTTAATTGAGCCTACCTTTGGGTGATGAATCATTTTTATTAAAATTCATCATAATAAAATGATAGACTGTTCATTGTTTTTTCTGTACAGTGTTTTGAAGAAGGTACTGGCTCTTAACTGAATTACTTTTGTCTGACTCGTACAGAAATTTCGGAATTTCAAGTACAATTCTTTAAGTCAGCCACTTTTTTTTCAGAAAAGCGTTTTTACATTCAAGAGGCTCTTGGTTTCTTACCTGTATGTAATGAGTGTTTCTGGGTTTTGTGTTTGTTTATTTTTAGAATGGTATCATCTTACTTAGTTCACCATGGATACTGTGCAACAGCAGAGGCATTCGCCAGATCCACAGACCAGACTGTGCTAGAAGAATTAGCTTCCATTAAAAATAGACAAAGTAAGGCTGGAAAGCACGCTACATCCTTTTTTCCCCCCTCCCTTAAACAAATTTTACGTAAAACTTTCTCTTAAGCATCGTTGTAGAACTTCCTTTCGGCACTACTTCATAGTACTGTTCTTTGCTGTCACGCAAAGTGACACACGTATGAACAGCCGGTTAAGACGAATTTCCGCACTAACGCTTTGGAACTCGTTTGATGTAGCGGAATGTGGTAAATGCCCTGTTTTTGTCTTGAATGGAAAATTGTGATCTGTCTTAAACAAATGTGTGTAATGTCTCTAAACGAGTGTTTGTGAGAGCTAATGGTCAGTCACAAACAGGAATATAAAACTTGGTCTTGACAAACATTTGGACTTTGATCTTAACTGTGAAAAGGGGTAGAGTGTAGAGAATGCTTTGTAAGTGAAATCAGATTTGAGTTTTCCTGCTTACGCAGATGTGAGGGGGAAGAGGACAAGGAGAACTAACGGCAGTTCAGCTCTAACTTGCTGTGGCAGTGCTGTCTGGCAGCCTGATGGAACAGCGCCGTCCCTGCTGTATGAACACAAGCGCTGGTGTGACAGCATGAGACGTCCCGCATGGGGAAACTGCTCTGGTTGAAAAATGACCCGTTCGTTGGGCTGTTCTTCATTTGGATCAGTTTCTCTGTTGGTGGATACGGCTGTGAGGCTGTTGGCGACTTGTGCCAGGTTCACAGCAACAGAAGTATCAACTAAAGCAGGGGCTGTTGTGGAAAGGTTTAGTCAACTCTGTGTTGTAGGTGAGAGAGACTAAATTTTGGTTTTCATAGTCAAAATTGAACCTGTGGGAGCGGGATGCAATTTGGATGTTCCTGGGTGACCATAGCTTGGTGTGTGCTTATTTACAAAGGTGCAAAAATGAGAAATAAATCACAGAAGA